CTCCCAAAATGCAGCCCAGTGGCCCTAGTCAGCCTCTGCCGGACTGACTCCATGTCTGGTCCATGTCGTCCTCTCCCCCTGGAGCTCGACCTCCCTTCCCAGGATCCGGGGAGGCTCTTGCAGGCGGTGGGACAGGACAGCTTCTGCAAGCCCCTGCTGGCTGGTCTCCCCAGCACGTGCTGACTGCTGGGCTGGCCAGAGGCAGCAGTCACCTCACGGGTTACAAGGACAGGACCTGCATCTGAAAACTGAAGAATGGTTTGCAGCCTGTGGAAGTAAAGCTCTCACTGGTCTGTACAAGGGGCCTCCCCTTCGCACTGGTGGCACAAACAGGCCTTTTGGTATTTCATCCCCTTGTAAGAGGGAGAGATGGGGGACTTGAAATTGAGCCAGGTCTTAAGGTGGACTGTGGAAGATTATAGCTCAGTGTTTGACTGTGCTGTGGAAGCCTTGTAACCCCCTTTACTGGACCAGAAAAATGCCAATATAAAATGTGAGAGCATATCTTACCCCTCTTCAGTATTACCCCAATAAAAACTTCAGCCTGAAACTTAACATCGGTTCCGCTGTCAGGCTTTCATTTGCCTGTATGTTGGGACCCATGAAGCATTTGTTGGCGCTTTATTTGCATGTGCAGCTCTGACTATTAGAGGAAAAATACAAGAGAGAGCTTATGCTGCAACAGCAGTCTTCAGCTAACCCCTTACAGACTTCACAGAGCTTCAAGCTACTGATTGTCCAAGCGATCTCATTAAAGAACTAAAGATAGCTGTGCAGACTAAAATGCCGTAATTTCAGGGGAAAGAACTTGAATCCAGTGAGGCCGTACAAAACTGATGAACAAATGAGTCTCTACTGATATTTGCTACACAAACCCTTAGCTGTCCTCTTCTCCCACTAATTGCTTTGTCCCAATGTAGGGGAAATTTTCTCCTGTCAATAATTTTTGCAGCTCAGTAAAGCAGGGTTCTTTCAATTCTGGCAGGCATCACTGTGTTTTTAGCCTTTATTTATATTTAAAAATTATCAGTTGTTTTTTAACTGCCCCACTTCTGAAGTGGAAATTACCAAATGGATTGTACAGTATTGCATTCTACTTTCTCAAAATGCTTATCAGGCCAGAAGAAATTATAATGGCCACATAGACCAAACTGGGGAGGCTCAAAGCTACAACTCTGCATACAGTTCTGGCTCTGCACTTGCGGGTTGTTACTTGCTTCTCCTGCTACTGTTTTTTTTTTCTTCCTAAAAGAATGGGTGTCTCCTAAAAATCTTGCTGTTCACCCATTCCTTTTTCAGACAGTTCTCTTCATACCTTTGCAAACACCTGCAACTTTTTCTGTGCTCTTCCAAACTCTGTACATGTCAATTGTAATCCTCTCTAATCCATTCTCTAGTGAGTGCAGAACTGATTTGCCAAACCCTTCTTTGCAGTTACAATCTTTGCGGCTTTTAGTCATCTTTTCCTGCAGTGATGATTTCAAGTTTCCTCTTTCCTTTCACCTTTGTGATTATTAGGGCCTCATCTTTCTACGCACTTTCCAACCTTGTCATTCCTCTCTTATTAATATGAAATCTCATAAATCATGTATCAGGCCTTTAGTTACCATGTCCTTTTTCATTCATTCATTATAATACTGCCTTACCAATCATTTTATGTCATTATCTGCACATTTTTAAACATTAGTAGAAACTATATGCCAAGTGGATCTGTAAATTATCTTAGCAGCAGCAATCTCTGAATGCAGACTTAGAGGGCACCCTGCTGGTGTCATGATTAAAATGCAGCTGTGGAAACAAATCTGCACGCATGGGTAAAATTAAACCAGTAACATTTTAAACGATGATGTGTATAGTATCTGTGATTAAGAGTTAGTGTCTACTGCATTTAGTAGCTAAGGCAGTAGGAGTGATGCAGTGATGCAAGTATCAACTCTTGGGTAATATCTGTTTACACTTAGATTCATGGAAAATCTGCAAACAGAAGTCCAAGAAATGGAATTCATAAAGTTTTCAAAGGGCTTGAGTGTCATGAGAAAAGAAGACTTTGCAGAATGGTTACTGTACTTCACCGATGAGGAAAACAATGAAATTTACTGGCAGAATGTGAAAGACAGAATCGAGACAGGAGAGGTTGGTACATAAAGCATGCTTTGTTTTGCTTCCTTGTTTGTATGTACAGGTTTTCATTTGAATGTAAGTATCTAATAAGGTAACTGGTTTACAGGTGAATTATTGCAGCTTTTGAATTTTATGCAAATAAGAACAATGATAATTTGCCAACTGAGAAATACAAATATTTATGATAAGCAGGCAATCGCACCTAAACACTAGGACCCACCAGATTAAATTAAATAGATTTACTGGTGTTTGAATGTATTATTAATGATATATCATCTGAATTCTGTGATACTCTAGAATATCAGTTTGGAAGAATTCAAGACTTTTTGCAAGTTTACAAACAACCTGGAAGACTTTTCTATTGCCATGCAGATGTTTACTGTAGCCAATCGTCCTGTTAAACGGGGTAAGTGCTGCACATGTTTCATATGTATTTAAAAAAAAAAAAAAGAAAATTGTTAGAGAATTAATGTAAATAAGTTATCCCAGAGTAGTACTATGAAGTCCAAAAATGGTATACTGCTCTTTATTCTCAATTAATTCTATTTTATGAAAAAGTAATAATGCAGAGTTCCCAAAATGTTTTGATTTGTAAGTTCTAATGTGCTATCATATGCTGCACTGCTCACAGCAGACTAAACCATAGAATCATAGAATAGTTTGCGTTGGAAGGGACCTTTAAAGATCGTCTAGTCCAACCCCCCCCACTGCCAGGGGTAGGGACATCTTTCACTAGTTGTTCAAAGCCCTCTCTAACCCAGCCTTGAACACCTCCAGGGATGGAGCATCCACAGCTTCTCTGGGCAACCTGTTCCAGTGTCCCACCACCATCATTGTAAAAGTTTCTTCCTACATCCAGTCTAAATCTACACTGTTTCAGTTTAAAAGCATTTCACCTTGTCCTGTCACTACAGGCCTTGGTAAAAAGTCTCTCAAATTTTCTTATAAGTCCCCTTTATATATTGAAAGGCTGCGGTAAGGTCTGCCTGGAGCCTTCTCTTCTCCAGGCTGAACAACCCCAACTGTCTTGGCCATTCTTCCCTGGAGAGGTGCTCCAGCCCTCTGATCATCTTCATGGCCCTCCTCTGGACTCACTCCAGCAGGTCCATGTCTTTCCTGTGCTGAGGACTCCACAGCTGGATGCAGTACTGAAGGTGGGGTCTCACGAGAGCGGAGTAGAGGGAGAGAATCACCTACCTTGAGCTGCTGGTCACGCTTCTTTTGATGCAGCCCAGGATACAACTGGATTTTTGGGCTGCAAGCATATTTTGCCAGCTCATACCCAATGTTTCATCCACCAGTTTCGCCAAATCCTTCTCTGCAGGGCTGCTCTTAGTCCAATCTAAATTCTAGATTAGGAAGGATTTATTGAAACAATACATGTTTTAGTAGTGGTTCATGGTAACAAAGCTTTTCCCTCACAGTGAAACTAGTTTTCTGAGAAAACCAAACAATAGAAATCTCTTATTTTGCAGGGTCTTTAGCATCTTGCTATGTTTTACCCTCCATACTGCCTTCTCCATGTGCTTATGTAGTGTTACACAATCATGGCTATGAAAAACAAACAATGTAATAAAGTGGTTTTTAAGAAAGATTTGGAAGAGGGAAATTCCTTCTTTCTCATATAGTACAAACAGGAGCAAACAACAAAAGTTTCATGGACATACGAATGCTTTTCATTACAATCCGGAGGTTGTTACTTACTTGTTATACTTGAAAGACAGCTCTCGTAAGTTCTATGACAATAGCAATGTAAAAAATCACTAAGGAAAATTGATGAGACATTATTAAGATTCATTGAAATAAATATTTGATGGGCTCCTGTGAAAAAGGTGAGAGACGTGAGAAGACGGGAAGAGAATTCAGTGTTCTTGAGAGAGAAATGTTTGGATGGGGTTTGAACCAAAGTAGGCCAAAAGTGAGGGGGTTTACAACTTGTGACTTTCATCACTAGTTAGTCCAGCCTCCAGGAAGAGTTTCATTTCCACAGCCTCTCTGGGCAGCTGTTCTAGTGCTTAACCACTCTCATTGTGAAGACTTTTCTCTGCTGTGTCAATCCCTTGCTGCAACTTACAATGATTGTGTCTTACCTCCATGCACCTTTGAGAAGAATATGGCTTTCTCTTCTCTGTAACTCCTTTTTAGGTAGTTGAAGGCTGCAGCAAGATCCCCCTTACACTTCTTCTGTTCTCCCCAGCTCCCTCACCTTTTCTTCTTCCATCATGTGCTCCAGATCCCAGCTGGGTTCGTGGCCCTCCTCTGTCTGGTTTGACATATCTTTCTTCTGCAGGGGGAGGCAGATTTTATTTGCACGAGGTGTAGAAAGAGTGGAGAGGAAAGAGGATGAATTAATGGTGAAATAATAGTTATAAGTGAGATATGAGAGTTTAGCTCACTTCTCTGTTAAGTATCACATTTTTAAGTGCCAAGATGACAAGGCCAACAGTTGGTGTTGACTGTGGTTATGCTTCCTTGTAAAACTCATTCGTAATCAGCAGGCAGCTGTGACTGTTTATGCACTGAACCACACTGTGATCGAAAACAGTCAGCTTCTGAGGTAACTCACGGATGTTACATGTATACATGTCTAATCCTTTCCTGAATCTCACTCAATTCTTTGTCTTGCTGTTTGCATGTGTGTACGTGTGTGTATTTACACACATATGAATATTTATCTAAAAATGAGACAGTCCTTTAGTCCTTCCTTTAATTCTAGACTTCATTTTCTTCTAAGTTAGCAGCTCATCTTTTCTCTGTGATAAGGTGGCCCTTCTTGGTTTGAAGGTTATTATGCTCCACCATTTTATAAGGTCTTTCTCCTTCATATTCTGTTCCAAAAAGTGCAGCATCATCGCTGGATTTATATTTAGCGTCAAGAGCTGAAGGAGTTAACATCTTTTTAAAGACAAAATTAAGACTCTACTATAAGCATCCCATATTTCATGTCCTTTTCAAATTGTGGTAAATCCTTTTACAGAAGGACTTTCAACTTAATTATATTTAAACCATCTATAAATTAATCAACTGCATTTATACAGGAATTGTTCAAAGGGGCAAAGATGAGAGCTAAGTCAGGAGTGCTCTTTCCTCTAGTAAGCTTCAGAACTAATCATATTTATAATGCAGTTCATAAACAGCACTTGTTTATGAAAGCAGAACCACATTATTACTATATTTATGACCTAGTTGGACAACTTGCTGTAATAACCTACAGTCCTGCTATATTTCAATAACCTCCAGTCCTCCCTTGAAATTCACACTTCCGTTATGCCTGTTTTATGGCAACCCCACACATTTTCTCACCTTCCTTGCGTCAAAACTCAAAATTCTTTCCACCACAAGTGGGGACAGTAGGTATTACTGTAATGCACCTGGTAGTGTAAAGAGAGAAGGCCAAAAAACTGAAGAGGAAAGTAGATCTCCAGAGAGGGATGACAGCTTTTTCTGCCATAAATCCTCATAAACTCTTCCATCATAATTTAAGAGAAGATAGCCTACTCCTTTAAAAAAGAGAACTACAGACACATAAAGCCATGTGCTATAAACAGGGTATTGAGTATTTGACGGTCTGTGTTTCTTCTGCAGAGCTGCTGAGAGGATTCTTGGTTGAGGTGGAGCATATAGTAAAATACTGTTTTCAGAGGAGAATTTTTCTTGCGGAATGAATTGGCATGAAACTAGTTTGAGATAAAAGGCAGCATTTTGTATGAGACCGTAGTGAGGCAAACACTTACCATCCATGTGCACAGGTATCGACCAAAAGTATGTAAATTTTAAGCATGTAGCTATCTCTAGCAAAAATTGTCACTCTCACTGTTGCTTGAGAAGTAGTGCATTTCAAAAGTTTATCATACAATTAATAAAGATAGTATGATGAAAGATGAAGCAAGCTCAAGACCATATTAACTGAGGCCTCTTAATAGTTTACTAGTCCACACATCCCAAATTCTCCATTCAGGATACTAATGAGACATTGTAAATTGTACAGAATCCTGCTATTTATGTGCTTTCCAATTTCTTTACAAGTTCACAGTCACCTATGATGTAATATTATGTCTTTTCTAGCTGAGTTCAAGAGAGCAGTGAAGGTGGCAACAGGACAGGAGCTCTCAGATAATGTTTTGGATACCATTTTCAAGATTTTTGATCTAGATGGAGATGACTGCCTCAGCCACAGCGAGTTTCTTGGAGTCCTGAGGAACAGAATTCATCGAGGTTTGAGGGTAACAAGCTAACATAGTTTTTAAATACCTCAGATGATGGCTACAACTCTCTTGTTAATGCTTGTAGAAACACAGGTAAAGATAGTGAATATAAAGAAGTTATCTTTTAAACTGAAGATTCCTTTACTGCTTATGAATCACCGCCACCAAGAACTTATTATGCATGTGAACTATGGGAGCAGCAAGATTGCATTACATATTATATTTACACAGTCTGTGAATAAGTGTCTTTTTTGTGTAAATGCTAAACATACTTTAACTTTATTAACAGGTACCACAACAGCAAGGCATTCAAGGTTACTGGAAGTGTGTGAAAAGAGAAAGCATTAAAGGAGCCAAAGAAGTGTGGAAGCAAACTGGGAAAAGTCCTTTTTAGAGCAGTCCATTGTTCTTTTGCTATGAATGTTATTTACGGAGGGTTGTCTGTCCTGTTTACATAATAGCTGAATCAAAAATACTCTTTTTTTTTTTTTTTACTATAGTTAAACTTTAATTAACCCAGTTTCTAATGCAATAATTTTATATTGTTCTAGTGCAATCAGTTTGATTGACAGAACTGTTATCACTTTTTGACCTCCATACAGAAGTACTCTTCTTCTAGGGAATAGTGTCGTGTACTCCTCTGTGGAGTCTGACTCTGCCCTGTAGCATACAGGATACGCAGGATTTAATAGTGGCCACTGGCAGGAATGTCACAGCAATACCATCTTCTGTTGGAAAAGTGGACATATCTCAGTTAGCTACTAACACAGCAGTAC